CCTATACCTACCTATACCTACCTACCTACCTACCTACCTACCTACCTACCTGCCTGCCTGCCTGCCTACCTACCCAACTACCTTCGTGCGTACGTACGTGCATGTGTACGTGCATACATACATACACACCTACACACATGCATGTGTGCGCGCACCCTATGCCATGCCGTGCCATACCATTCCAGACCATACCATGCCATACCATCCATCCAATCACATCCCATCCGACCCAAACCCATATCACATGACATAAAACAATACCACATCATGTTATATCTTAGCATATCACAGCATAACTACGAAGATACGTACATACATGCGTCTACGTGCATACGTACATACGCGCGTGCAGGCATGCATACATGCATAAATGCATACATACGCACGTACCTACGTACGTACATGCATACATACATACATACATACATACATCCCTACATAATGATACATAATCATACATAACCGTACATACATACATACATACATACATACATACATACGCACATGCGCACATGCTCACACACGCACATGTGTACTTGCATGTATGTATGTATGTATGTATGTACGTATGTATGTATGCATGTTTGTATAAGGAAAAAGTCTGTGGGCGTGCAAACCAACAGAGAAATATAGATGTGTATTCGTATATGTACAATTTGTGTAAGTACAGACACAGCACACACTGCTTACAGAAAGCTCAGGGTCATTTGGTTCGGGGGATTGTCAGCTAGTCCAGTCGATCCATTGCGGGGTCACCGCAACAGTATCGCTATCTGTGCTGTATGTGCATGTACTCATACATACATACATACATACATACATACATACATACGTACAAAGGTATTATTTACTTATTTATCGTGTATGTATGTATATATACATATATATATATACATATATATATATTATATATATATACATGTATGCAACCACATCTCAATGCATATATGCATATTATAGAATCATAGGCGAATCGTAGGTGCCTGCATGTATGCACCCCGGTTCAGAGTTGTAGGTTCTGGTTTCTGGGTCAACGGGTCTCGGTTCTGTCTTCCGTCGACAGCAACACTGTCCTCCGTCCACTCCTCACCAAACATGTTGCCGAAGACCTTCAACGCCTCCAAGGCGAAGCTTAGCAGAGCCGCAGCAATCTAAGCACAGCCGCACGAAGAGCAACAAGACAGCAAAGCTAGGTCGCACCGGGTCTCGCTCTGCGTGCCAGGCGTCGTAAGCGTCCTGCCTCTCCTGGTAATGATCAGTAAGTATGAAGCATTTTGTGGCAGCAGCCCGGTGTCAAGTGTAAGGACAACAAGCCGCTTGGAGAGAAAGCCTACAAGCAAAATTCAATCCGCCTGTGCTTGTGCAGAGCAGACTTCATCCACGACGGGGCTGTCCGACAGCACTTCTCGGTACCTGTGGTGCCAGCGACAAAGCAGGTTCGCAATCGCTCACTTGCAAAACGATAGAAGCATGTTCTGTTTCTTGCATGGGTGCAACGCTGCTAGATGCACGCCATGGGGATGCAAAGCCACATTGAAATCTGCAGCTCGTGACACGGCATGCGATGTCCCTTGGCCGACGTCTGGATTACGGAATCCAAACAAACTTCAGTAACTTCAGGAAACACGCTCGCAGCTTGAGCTCTAGACGAGATACAACGACAGAGCTGACGTCTGACCAAAGCCAGGAGCCCCATTCAATCCGTGGAGGCTCTTTGAAAAAATGAGTCGGACTCGAGACGTCGTGTCGGTCCTTCGTTTTCGATAGTTTCAGGGGTTCCTGCTCAAGTCCGACCCGAAATCATTGAATTCTGGTGTGGCGGCCGTGCGAAAGAGGTCGCAGCATGCTCCTCTGCATTTTACGATGCCTTCTCAGAAATCTCCGCATCGACGTTTTCCAACGCGGACAACGAAGTCGAACCCAACTCCGGCCCTGTCGGGAGAACCTCGGACGCATGGCACTTACGATGGAGACCTCCAAGTGCCAGTGAGATCGCTTCGACGAACCATGAAACCCCCAGACGTGGGCTCCGCGCATTCTCCTTCCCGTCGTCGGCTTCGTTTGGGTTGCTTTGCAGGCTGTGTAGGCTCTCGGTCGGCCTGGGCCAGAACGGGGGTGCTTTCCTCGCAAAATCTCGTGTTTCTGAAGGAGGCTTCGGGCTACAAGTTGCCTTGTACGGCCTGTGTCTGGTATTTACTGAGTAGCCGAAGCAGCAGCAGCAGCAGCAGCAGCAGCAGCAGGTGCATCTGTTGGTGCCCGGCACGGGCAGGGGCGCAGTCTCCTGAGAAGCCGCGAACAAAGCCAGGGCCTGCAGCGGGAATCAATTGGCTCATAGGAGAAGCATTTTGTTTATTGGGCCCAATGCATGTAGCTTGATTCAGAAAGCCACACCAACATGACAGTCCTCTTCAGCTGTCTCCGCCACTTGATGGTCGCTGTGGCGCCGCAGGGCAACACGACGCAAAGACATGGCCTCCAACCCAAACCCATTCCGACGCATGAAAGCATCTTTCACTTGCACGGTGCCAAGCTTCAGATTTCGCTCTTGTTACTGGCTCGTCGTTCTTTACGATTCTGGTGGCTGGGCGAGCGAACATCTCAAACATGATCAAAACCACATAGAGGAGCCTGGGCAATAAGGCCTTACAGTGAAGAAATCTTTCTCCCCGAGAAAGCATGACCTCTTAGCGGGTAGCTTTGAAACTGCTACCCCCATGATGTAAGGCATGGCATTTAGTCTGTCAGCTTCATGAAGCAGCAAAACAAGCAGCAGGACATAACCTAGCTGCTCCAGCTACAATCGAATTTGCCAACAACCGCACCCAACTCCCTCGACCTGGGTAAGGCTGCCCTCCATTCAGGCACCTGTGCACGTGCTCTGCTAGCAACGACGGCTGTTCTGTCGGCCTTCGCCTTTGGCGAAACCACGGGAGCTCGGAACCGCTTCATCGCAACAGCCGCCTTGCCAGCTGCCGAGACCTGGAGCTAGAATGCTCTTTGCAGTGTTGAGCAAAAGCCGGGCACTGGTCTCTCGTCTGATGCACCCCTTACACAACATAGAGGTCCAAATGCACCCACCACTGCTATATGCTTGTCCGCGTGAGCCTCCTATGCAAAGACTGCATCAGAAAGCCAATCCAGCGTTCCACAAACACCGTTTGCTGCCCTAAGTACTGTACTCCCTCCCTCTCCTGAACCCCAGAGAGCCGGGCTGTCACGGCAGGCGCATCCTGCGGCGATGGTACTTGGGAGATTGGAATCGTGGCATGGCAAGACATGGCATGGCTGAACCAGGGTATCAAGCCGACTTCTCCGAACAACCAGAGGCCTGGGAAAGGTTCGAGTTCTTTGACCTCCTTCGGGTTCAGGCCACTCTCTGAAGGAGCATGCCAAGGAAGTCCTTCCGCTTCGTGGGAGAATCCTCTGCCTCCTGTCATGTTGCGCCGGCTCTCATCTCTGAGGCATTGGCGGGCTCCGGTGAATCCGTATGATTCCTTAAGCAACTCCCTGACAGGACGCATGAGGGCCTCCTCACCAAACTCTGCCACCTCCTGGCGGTTGTCGTCAGGAGTCTAATGCAAAAAAACCAGAGTTGTCGGATCCTCTGAACGGAAAGGCAAAAGGCTCTGTCAAAACGTGGTTTCAGGGCGAAGCCAAAGCCCAATGCTTACTGCGACACTGCCAGTCACTGCCACGCCTGCTCCTGCGCTTGGAGGGCTTTCGATGCCTGGCATTCAAAACGCAATAAAGTTTGTTTGAGTGCCACAGAACTCGCCAGTTCAACAACTCTATAGTATGGTGAAGGAGCAGCAGGAATTTCTGAGTGTACTTGCTTCGCAAGCTTAGCACTTGGAGCAATCGATCTTGTCGCGCTGCAAGTCGTCCAAAATGCCGTTGACGAGGCATTTGCAGACGCAAAACTGCACCAGCAATGGCCAGCCCAGCGCAACAAAGACTAACCCAGGGGCGATGCCGGACAACAGCTACCGCAAGGCTTCCTGTCTATTGTGATGTCTAGCAACTCTTTTTACCCCGTCACCTGCAAACAAAGCCAACAGCATCACAAGTTTGGGGAATCCTGCAGATGTCCCCACATCTGATCGATGGATGGCCTCGTCCTCTTCCCTTTCCAGGCGGAGCTTTTCCTTCAGGATGGCCTTTGCTGAGTGATCTTCCGGAGTCTTCGACCGCTTGGCGCTGCCAGTGCGCTTGGAGACTAACCGCTGGAAGATTTGCCAACCTCAACCATCTCAACCTCGGTCCCGTGATTCAGGCATGCAGGCGAAGGTGCCCGATCCACGTCAGACAAGGTGTCCATGAGTTCCCGAAACGGCACGTTGATGACCTGCGTGGCAAAAGCTCACGTTCACTTCACGCCGACCGTCGGCGGCGATCATTGGAGCGGCAGTGAACTTTGCTAGACCGGTTTCATCGCTCCCTCAACCTAACACACCGACAGCAGAACCGTCTAAAGATCTTTGGGGATGATAAGAAACCAGTATAGCTCTGTTTGCTCTGTGTACTCCAGGAATTGCATCGCCTGTGCCTTTGTTGTCACATGTTGTCACCTGCCGTAGCGCAATGTGCGCCCCAGCATCATCAGCGCCTCACATCAAGCCTTTAAACGTGAGGGCCCTGGCGATGCTGAGATGGAAAGGGAAAGCCTGCAGAGTGCCTGTACTTCTCTGAAGGGAAAGGTCGGCCGTGGCCGTGCCCGCGCCTGGAGAAGCTCCGCATACGAGGCCTCTCGCAGAGCATGTTGGGATCCTAAGACAAAACGGAAGTTCAAGGAGCCAGTCAGACCTTGAACTCCTGCCAGTCGATGAAGCCACTTTCGTCCTTATCGATCTCCTCAAACCTCAGGCTTCAGCCGTGGAACATGCTCGGTCCGAGAACGTTTTTCCCAGTGCCGATTGCATGGCATCTCTTGGCTTTGGCGGTTGAAGCCTTCAAAACAATCCTGCGTCGGAGAACCCCGCACGTATCTAAAGCCACAACCTCGCAGCGCGCCCTGGCAATGGTAAACCCAAGACTGGGGTCGATGCATCATCGAGATGGACTGATCGCTATGATTCTCAAAGAACTCTGCCAAGAGAGTCATGCTGTCGGCCCACTCCTGCTTTGGGCTTTCGGTGACCGGCACGGTAGCTTCGTTGGCTTCGCGGTGCTTGACTGGCAAGTGTAGGCTATGCGGCAGGCCTCTGGGTGGATCATGCCATCCTTGCCGCCGGGAAAAGGCTTCACTCGGGTGATTGGGTGGAAAGTTCCCGAGAATGCACAGAGGGTGTGCCCAAGAAGAGAGGCTGCAGGCTTCTAATGTTCACAGTCCTGGTTGACATCGAAGAAACTGAAGAGACGCTGTAGGCACTGCCTTCAAAAATGGCACGGCAGAGGCATGCAGAAAGCCTTCCCAGCCTCACGAATCCCTCACCCGACCAATTCTGCAAGGGCCCCACTCGACAAGCTGTGCTTTTCGGCGTTCGTCCAGCTGTGCACCTGGACCAAGCTGGGACAGAAAAAAAGTTTGCAAGCTTCAGGCGTTCCAAATTGGCTCGACAACCAGCACCGCACAAAGAAGGCAAAGCGGCAAAGCACGGCTCCTTTGAAGATGTTGCAGCAACATTCGCAAGCTTGGTGTTTGGATGGCCCCGTCGATTCTACTTAGCACTTTGCCCTGGACGGTGGAAGCGTGGTGCCGGCTCTCCTGCACGAATCCTAGAGTCTAGAGCTTCTTGGACCGAAACCAGCTGGGGCGGCAACCCATGCTGTCACTGAAAAACCTTAAAAACCTCAGCCTCCGCGCTAGCTTCTCTCTCGAAGAGAAAGCCAATTCGGTCTGAGGCACGATATTTCCGCACGAGCCGGTGGATCTGCTGGTTGGTGCTCAGGGCCTGGTACCACACGGATGCCGTCTCCTTTTGCCCGGAGCTCACAAGCCTTGCCTCGGCCGAACGCCGCTTCGTGTCCTCTGCATCCACATCTACCACCTGAAGAAACGGCTCGAGTCGTGTTGCACACTGCAGCCCTCCGCAAGAGCATGGACTGTGCAGGTGCATGACTCAATGTGTGCTACCTAAACATGTTTCCTCGGTTACCTTGAGCTTGAACCCGTCTTGTCGTAAGAAAGTTGCTGACGAATCATGCTGGCCTGCTTCGGATCCTGCAGAAGTGCAGAAACTACCTTCCAGGCTTGATCGCTTCTGAGGCGAAATTGAAAAGCATCCCGGTGTACCATGCCTCAGTGCTGTTCGCCTGGCATGCCAGGTGCAGCGGCGTAAGGTAGCTCAAAGTTCCTCAGTGGCAAGACCAGCTCAACCGTAGCGGCAAAATTCATCTCTGAGTTGTGGACGCAAATTTGCGTCAGCTTGGTGTTCCAGCAAGAGCCGCACGCAGCGCGGACCTGAGCCGTCCAACTCGAGCCATCGCATCTTGTCGCCCTTCGCCAGCAACCTCTGGGCGTCCGGCGCGAGCACTCGCAAGCGTAGTGCAGAGCACTGCGCCCCTGTCAAACATGGGCAGATGGAAAGGCTCATAGTCTGAGTCGGACGAAGCGTCGCGGCTGCATCGCGGCTCTGCGGCCCCTGCAAGCTGGGTGCGGCCATCGACCTCGGCCTGCAGTGCTCATCCCCGGCCCGGCAGTGAAAAGGCTGGTGAAAAGGCTCGGAGTTGGAGGCCTTTGTCCGGATGCACCACCTCAGCTCCAGAACTCGTCTCACTACACCCAAGTCCCAGAAAGATCTCAGGTCCCCACAGCAGCACCTCAGCCTGCCCGGCACTCGCCGCACCTGAGAAACAGCCCTCCAAGGACCCCGTGAACCTTCCTCGACAGGCACTCTGGGCCTCAGAAACAAGGACTCTGGGCATCTCTGGGCCCTGTGCGATGAAGGCTCGTGATGCCAGAGCCAGCTTCCTTGATGTTGGGGTTCAGCCCTTCGGTGGCCATGAGCCTCAAAATGGCAGAAGCGCAGAACAACATCTCAAAGACGACGGTCTTTACTGCTCAAACCGAACCCGAGGATGCTCAGGCAGCCACTCCACGACTTGGCTCCAGTCGATCTGCGGGCTTCAGGCTTGAAGATCATTGTTTCGGAGCTCGGCTGAAGCTGAAGTCCGGAAGCTCTCTCGACACTTTGTATTTCTGCTTGTGCCTCGACTTCCCGCATCAGCCATTGCAGCTGGCTTTGTCGCTCTCGCCGGTTCTCCTTCATCAGGAACGGTCGACAGGTCGGGAAAAGAAGAAATGCTGTACTCGCTCCCACGGCTGGACACCTGTTTTCCAAAGCAAAGCTTGGTTGTTCTGACTCCTCTTCCTGTGGGTATCCCTCTTGCGAGTCTTACGATTGCTGTTATCTTGCCACTCCGCAATGATTTGCTCGACAACACCGCGCCTGCTTCAGGATTCAGGGCCTGCTTGGTATCGGCTTGGTACCACGCAGTCCCGACTGTGGCGACTGCGGCTATCTGACTCTGCCTTGCTGAGCTCAAGCCACTCAGGCCTTCGGCTTGGTTGCATTACCCTTGACCTCTGCAACGTTTGGGCAGACACTGAAGACCTTCCATAAACATCCGAGCCGTCTCCTCCTTCTTCTCCTGCCTCTTCAAGGCGAGGATGGACACAACATCCGAGCCATCTTCTGGCTTCTCCGGCATGGCCAAAGTTTGTTGACGGTGTTGGTTTGAAGGCTTTCACGGCTAGGCCCGGCTAGGCGAATGGCCCTTGCGGGACGTCGTATAGTTCGGCTCTGGAGATGCGACTGCGCAAGCTTGGTAGTCGCAGTCTTCAGATGCTGCTAGTGACAGGCGACTGGAGATACATCATTATACCCCGGTGCTGGGATGCTTCAGCTGTGTTGTCATGCAGCCACATTGCCATAGAAGCTACTTCCAGCAGACTCGGGCATGACGGCGGGGCAGCAGAAATCGCTGTCACATGTTAGGTCCGGCGACGCACTAGCAATTCTTAAGGAAAGCATCGAGAGCAACGAAGGAAAATAGGCTGAAATGCCGAAACTCCCCTGGCTGCGCGGGGCACGCATCGAAGTACCTGAGTGAAAACGGAAGTCAAGAAGCACCATGCGAATCGTCTCTGGTCGCTTCGGCCCAAGAGGTCACCGGGTGAAGACCCGCCAAAGCTCGGAGCCCGCAGAGATCGCCTGCAGGCGGAGGCACTTTTCGTTCGCCCCGCTGCGGGCTTCACGCGACTCGGCTCTGCCTCGGGGCCCTCAGGTCGGCTGAAAAACATGTAGGGGCTGAAGAATTCGGGCGATTCCCCGTAGACCTGCCGAAGTCCAGGCTTGTGAGGGAGGTCCGCAGATTTTCGTTTCAACTAGTTCGGAGCATAAAATGAATGCTCGGACCTCCGGATCTGCAGTGTCTATGGCTGTGGACTGAGGATCTTGTGTTTCACAGGTGTTCGTCAGTCATCAAGCACCAAGCTTACAATTTCCAGTGAAGGGTGGCCGCGCCCCAAGCTTGCCTTGCCGCCAGGAGCACTGCGAAAAGCCTCAAAGTCGTCGTAGATGGAACGGACAAAGGGTGCGATTCGCTCCTGCCCCGGGTGCACCACAGAGGGAAGGCAGTGTGCTAGGAGTTCGTTCAGCTGTTCGAAGAAGTCTTTTTCTCTCATAGAGCTGTAACTCGACAACACTCCGCCTCAATGTGTCCCGACTCTGGCAGCATCGGGGCCCAGTCCACTCCAAACAGCTGGCGCTTGTGGGAACTCAGTGCGCCGTTTAGACAGACTAGCATCCTATGTGATCTATATATCCACTTCAGCCACTCGACTGGGACTTCGAGAGGAAGTGAGGAGAAGGAAGCGAAACAAAGGACCAAACCATGAAACCGTAGTGGACACTAACACAAAACAGCTGAATCGAAAAGCCTAGGGCCTTAAAACCCCAAAGCTTGAAAGACCTATTCAGCTTTTGAAAGTCAAGCGCAAGTGTCGATACCCGATAGCTATTCCATCCATCCCTAAACCTGACCCGTAAACCGTGAACCCAAGGACCTTAACCCCGGACCCTGGCCGAGGGCACCTAGTTCCGAAAATCTGAAAGCCCCAAACCCAAGGCCGCCCCAAACCATCGCTGAAACGCTACGCCGCTACGCCACCACATCCTTCCACGCAAACCTCATGGACCCGCAGCCCTAAACCCCAAACCCCAATCCGAACCCCAAAATACAAAATCCCAAACTACACGGAAGGTCTAAACCCTAAAAATCCAAAAACATGAACCCTGAAGCCTTCCAGTGAATCAAAACCGAAACCGAACAACCCCAACGTTTCAAACCGAAGACAATGAATACCCTGAAATCTCAAGACCCTGCATCGAGCGCTGGAACCTAAGACTTTAACACCCTAAAGTTCCTGTACAGTTCCAAGCCCAATGACCCTCAAAGAGCACGCAAACCTGAAAGTTTTTAAGCCCCATACATGTGACATGAACTCCTAAAACACACAGCTCGAAGAGCTAAAAAAATCGAACACGAAGCCCGACCAGGGACCAAGAGCTAAGCACCAGAACGCTGGAACCTGAAAGTCACAAACCCCTTGCACTAAACGCCCGGAAACCCTAAACCCTAAGCCCTAAAACGCAAGCAGAAACAAACTAAGGCCCTGAAACCCTACAGCCCTAAGCCCTAACAACCAACAACTTGAACATTGAATTGAAACCCTAAAACCTAAGCCCTGAAAATAAAGAAATTGAACACGAAAAAACCCCAAGGACCAAGCGCCAAACCCCAAAAACCTGAACCCTAAAGTTCCAAACTAAAACCCTAGTTCCAAGCCCCATACACTAAACACCCTGAAACCCTGAAACCCTACACACAAAAAAACAAACGAAACTTGGACACCAAAACAGCAAGGGCGCTGAACCCGAACCCTGGAACCTAAAAGTTCGAAACGAAACCCGAAAACCCTAAGCCCTAAAAACCAAAACCTTGAACACGCAAAAACTCCAAGGGCCTAAAAGCTGACCCGAAAACTTGAAAACTAATAAACAAAACGCTCTAACCAAGCACCGAACCCCAAAACCCCACAACCCAAAGTTCCAAACCCCATACACTAAACGCCAAGAAATCCCAAGACCCTGAGCCCGAAATACCCGAAAGCTTGAACACGAAAAAATCAAGGATCAGGCGCCAAACCCCAAAAACCCCTGGAACCTCAAAATTCCAGACCCCATGCACTAAATGCCCTGACACCCTAAAAAACACTAAGCTCAAAAAACAAAACTTGAACACAAGACAACCCAAGGTCTCAGGACCAAGCGCCACTCCCCCAAAAACCCTGGAACCTCAAAGTTCCACACCCCATAAACTCAACCCTGAAATCACTGAAACCCTGTCCCCTTCAAATCCTAACAATCGCGGGCCCTGGTGCTCCAAGAACAAGAACATAGCTTGCATAACATCCAAATTCAATTTTTTGATTGGACCACATGCTTCTCCAAAGTGCGGCAAGCTCATGCTGCCTTCACAAACAGTCCTCTCCACGTTTGCCTATCCCCTGGCGCTTCCCGCACATCCATTGGGCTCCAGGCTTGAAGGAAAGCACATCTACACCCAGCACTGGCTGCAGCCCGTGAGAAGGTGCGGGGTAGACAACGGCGTTGAAGGCCTCGCAAGATGTGAAAAAGCTTGGCCCAGCAGCCACAGCAGCTAGCTTTGCTTTGGCCTGGAGCTGAGGCCCCGCATCCACGGAGACGTAGCGGACACGCCGCACGGGCGCGTCGGGGGCCTCACACCCGGCGGAGCTCCGGTCGATTCCGGCTGTGTCAGAAAACGCTGGAGCGGGGAGCAGACCTGCCCCGACCAGACTCGCGATTCGATGATGGCCTTGGGTAGGGCATGCTGCTAGGCACACGCAGAGCAGGGCACTGTAGGCACCTCCGGTGAGCCATCCGCACTCTTCGAGCTTGAAGGCACGGTGCCGATCCTCCAGCACAAGTTGTGTGGAACCGGCTTGCAGACTTAACTAGCCATCCTCTGTTTTTGCTGCATTTCGGGCCTGGCAAGTTGTAGATTCTGGTTGGTGCATTCCGGTGTATCTTGGCGACAAAACGGCTTGCCGTCTTATCAGATTTTACGACTTCGACTGTGCCCAAGCGACCTTGCAGACATTCATATTTGAGCCATGCGCGTGCCGAGTGCCCGGTCGGCGCAGGCTCCGGAAGTTGTCTGATCATGAAAATCTTGAGGCGGGTTTTGACTGCATCAAGGTCACAGGTTGTGACGCCGCTCATTCAGACTAGGATTCGGGCTTCAGGAAGTGCGGCACAACAACCGCTCCATGCCGAGCGGCCCGCCTTCGGGCAAACTCTGACGGCAAGCTTTCCTCCACCAGGTCGAGCTTTGCAACGAAGTCGTCCTGGTCGGGGTTGTCATTTCTCGAGAAGCTTAGCGGATGAAGCAAATTTTAATGTGTCTGGGATCATGCAAAGCGCTCCTCCACCCAGCGTGCCCAATCGTCAAAAAAGCCCTTCGTGCCTTGACAATGCAAGAAGCCTCAAAATGATGCATGAGTGCGAAACAAGTGAAACTCCCGGTTTCTCCACGATAAAATAGCCTTCTCAAACGATTCACAAGACTCCTCGAACAGCGAACATGCCAAAAGGCTCGAGCTGTGTTCAGAACCTCCCTGCGAGCGGCGGCGGAGTCGCTTGGCCCTGGCAAACCTTCGGTTAAGCCATGGATCGAAATGCCAGGCAATCGCTAAAGCATGCTCATATCGAATGCATGATTCCGGCTTCTAAGTGCCATCTCCTTCACTAGTCTGGTTTCATTGCGATTTTGTGCAAAACGATATCACTGTAGCTTGCTTCTGCACGCACACTGCAGCAAAGCCAGCCTCGAAGTACAGACGCAACAACTGCAAACCAAGGGTATGACCTGTGGCAGTGAATATACTCAAAAGACGTTGGCCAACACCAAACAGAAACAACATCGCACAATGTCAACAAGCCCGGCCGGACCGAGTGAAAAGCTGCGCTCACACTGGTTCTCCCGGAAGCTGTCGCTGCAGACCAATGCGACGAGAAAAACGATCGGCTCGTCCTCTCACGAAGCTCTTACCCAAAGACAAACCAATTGCCACCACACACGGCCAGCAACTGAGCGAGACACAAAGGCTGGTCTAAAGCCGCCACGAGGAACCTCGGAGTTGACCAACAATAATTCGGAACAAGATGAACCACTGCACTGGATCTCTGAGACCGAAACCTTCCAGACGGCTGCCCCAGCATAGCACCGAAACAATACCGATGTAGAAGTGTGCCTAGACACGGCCTGCAAACAACCACCCTCTAAGTACACACCCTGTCGTTATAGATCTGTTTCTTGAATTACGATTGTGAGCATGTACGAAAATTGTCTTAGCTCTGTCTTCTTATGGTGCATTGCATCAACAACCTCGCCCCACACTACGACACTGTCATGAAAATACATTATACCTTCGAGAGCTCCAAGAACGAAGCAAACGTGTAGTGTCGAAGAAACTTCATGAATAACGTTGCGTACCGTCGGTGTACGAAAACTCTGCGTTTTCATGGATATGTGTTGTAGTTCCTCGCTTGTTGTTCCCACAACATGTAAACTGTAGGTTTGAACATTTAAGCTTGTTTGATGGTTTGGAAACATGCATGTATGCATGTATATGTACATGTCCATGTAATGTACGTGCATATGCATGAGCATGGGTATATGTCTCTATGTACATGTGTAAATAGACGTGTAGCGAAATCATACTACGTGAAATAACACCATGTAATACGAATGGTGCAACATGGCACAACATCCATGCAACATAGAAACAAATACCACCAAATTATGTAATGCAGCATAGTGTGATACAAATCAATCGTATTTGACAGTATAAAAAACATAACATAGCATGACAAAATGTTATTTGATACTCCTTGTACTAAATTATCACCAAAGAATGCACTATATAGTATAAACACTGAAAAGTCTTTTTTCTTGACCCCACCAAAGTTGTAAAGTCCTGTTGTCTGCGCTGTCACTTCTATCATCAGCTGAAAAAGACATGCCGCGCCACAAGATGGACCAGTCGCGTGGTCTAAAGGGCAAACAAAGAATTCGAATGCAGAGTTTTCGCAAAAGCAGTTCTCCAACACCACCAAAGAAACACCATCGCCATAACAGGTTGAGAATGGCATAAAGTGGCTGAGAAAGATGTTCCAGGGTCTGAAAAAAGAGAAAGCCGTTTGTTTTCATCGCTTTCAACCCCTTGAAGCGTTTTTCGTGGCTTTCTCCTTGTTGTGTGAAGAAAAACGTTTTTGGTTTTTGTTGTCTGTTGTTTTTGTTTCCGAAATTTGCCGAATTGCGATTTGCTTCGCATCTTGCCTTGTGTGTCATCTCTCCAGTGAAGGTCGAAAAGAAAGCATTGGAGGTCTAGAAATACAAGATTTGGGAAAAGATTTCTTAAAATAATGTATAAAGGTTGAAAAAAAGATTGTGTTCTCTTTCTGGGCCTCATTGCGGGGCTGAAAAAAGATGGAATAGCATGAAGGCTTGGAGTACGCAGAATGCTGTTTCAAGTCAAAGCATGCGAAAAGTCCTTAATTGTCGAACAGTTTGTGCTCCTATCAATTTGCCTTCCATCAAGGACTCGGATTTAGTGGCTCATCGCAGGCTTTCTACTCAAGACGTTGAAGGGGTTTAACATGCGCTAGTCTGTTTTCGGCTTCTTTTTTTCAGACCCTGGAACATCTTTTTCCAAGCCACATGCCATTCTCAACTTTTTTTTTTTTGTTGGAGTCAAGAAAAAGACTTTTGTTTTTTT